TGTTCAAATTCCGCATTTGTAAAGACGGTTCAAAATATCTCTAGTGACTATGATGGCAGCGTAGAGGAACCGGTACTGGCCAACTTTTGTGTGGATGACTGTCCAGTATCCCTTCCCAATAATGACGATGCAAAAAGGTTTGTGCTACACTTAAACAAATTGATGTTTCGAGGAGGTTTCAAGTTGGAAAACTGAGTAACTATCTCAGGATTAGTAAGGTAGGTTATTCCGCAATCCAGTAGTATGGAAGCGATAGTTGATACGCCTCTGAATCAAGGGCGTGTAGTGGCACTGAGCCCAAACCGCACAATCCTCAAAGCTGAACACTAGACAACTGGGAAAATGAATCCTTAATATTTAACGCGGAGAAAAACACAACGATTGAGAAGGCGGGAAGAAGGAATTCAGTTAATTCGAATTGTTCGGATGGCATAGACTTGGCTTTGCAGACGTGGTCAACCCTAAGTGTTGTGACATAGTCTTTTATTCATATTCAATATATTGTTCTACCTGTAGCCTAAGTTTGTTCTCCATCATATACTGATGGTTGTTACGATGGGATGAGTTTTTGTAGACAATGATCTTATGGATTAGGCAATTATATCTTGACGAATGCACAATTTTTGTAATAAGTTTATTATTAGAGAGGTATTAATAACGAAGTAGACCATAATTCTACAAGATCACTTCATAGCACTGTGATACACAAAGTGGATATCAATCCAACGATACTGACGCTTTATTTGTCTGATGTACTTGTAACATGGAGCCAGTAGATATTAGTGTGTTCCAACAAGTTGTGCAACATAAAGCTTGGATTCACTCATACCTTAAACGTAAGAGAGCCCAACATCACAAAAGGAGGGAGGATGGCGTTACCGATCAGCAAGCTTGATGGTTAGGAGATAAACTCAACTCACCCATGTCTGTAGGGCAGAACATTTTGTTAAACTGCTGCTCCTTATGGTCTAGCAGGATGTAACCAACTAATGGTACTGATGCTAACTTCTTACGTCAAATACCTCTTTGAATCATGTTTGTAATATTGCATTGGTTTTACTTCCCGCCGAGAAATTTTATCACAAATCAAACTAGATATTTATGATAAAACGAATGTCTACTAATGGCCCTACAAAATCTATAATAATAAAAATGAGCTGAAATAGCCTTGACGAATAAAAAATATCTATCGGTGCGCTCGAAAACTGTGTTTTTCGTACTGTATTTTGAAATTACGCATAATCCTAAAATATTAGCTTCTTTTTGAACCAACTCCATTTATGCAATTCTCCGTTCATCCATCGCTATACTTAGGCTTGCTTTCTTTAGCCTACCGCAATTGACTTAATAAAATATAACAAGTCTATGTAGTCATACCCTTATTATTCCATAACAAATGACTCAGTCTCAATAGTCAAGAATACTGTCTGTTCTACTTTTCATCTTTACTTTTTTTGCTTTCATTTTCATCACCCTTATGATGTGCCACTGAAAACACATATGGAGCATGTAACTTCGTCCTGAGTCATCGTCAACACCTCAAGTATTTCAGGGGAATATAGGGTTACGTTTTCTAGATGCCCCCAACTTTGCGTGGATTCATTCTCCATCATCAATGACACGTCTCAACACAAGCGCCATACAGCGTGCAAACTCTGAAGTTGGCAATACGAGTCTTAATAACATTATTCATATTTATGTGTGACAATTGTTTTCCCTCTGATTGTATTACGAATATGCCTTATGACATCAACCTGAGTAATTTATCAGAGTGAAGCCTGCATCATCTGTACCTGTTTGATCTTGATTGGAAACTGGTTTACCTTCTGTAACATACTGTTATTTGGAAATATATATATTAAATAAATAATGTTAAAAGTGCAGAACGACTGTCGGTTTCATTGAAACGTGTGATAACGTGGAATCAGTGAATGACCCTCTTCGAATACATGGCTAAGTGTTTTAAAATACTAACCCTCGTTTGACCGGGTCTAAAAGTAGGTTGTGACATCCTATGAAGTCTGTGGCAATGTTGTACATCAAAACCTCTGAATTAACCAAAATCCGGAACCAGATTAAGATAAAAGCATCCCATACCTTATGTCGCGATAGGCTTTCTATGAAACTCCTGCAAACTGAAAACAAATCTCGCTGACAATCTTTTGATGCTACAGTAACGATGCTAACTTCTGTGAAAACCAGTCTGCAACTATTCATCATCACATTCGTAATGCATAACCAGAGATTACATCCAGCAGCTACGGTTGCTGTTAACTTATCTCGGCGAAAATGTTTTCTGGAGGATTAGTCGTAGTTAGTTTGAGGTTGGATAATATGTAATGTTGTGATCTAGGTTCATTATCAGTACTGCTATGTGATAGACCCAATCCTAAAATTGTATATTTTTCATGATGTGACTACCTAATCTATGAGATTGTACGTGCCAGTCCCATCTTTGTATAACCTGACTCGTCATATCCTAAGAATCAGCAATATAACATCTGGTGATTTAGAAGAACACACTTGGGCTAAAGATCGAATAACATATTTATTGTGAGCAAAGACAAGTTATAAAGAACAGCGACTTCTGAGAGGCTTGGCCATACCATCCGATCGATGAATGTTCCTGTAGAATTATGGTCTACTTCGATATTGTACTGCTTCAATAATAGACCTAATCCTAAAATCGTGGATTTGTCATGATGTAACTGCCTAATCTATAAGATCATACGTGGAAGTCACATCATTGTCTACCCTGACTCATCGTATTGTAACAATCGTCAATATATGATGAAGAACAAATTTAGGCTGAAGATAGAACAATGTGTTTAATACGGTTGAAATTTATTTTACATAAGTATGACCACGCCTGCGAGTTCGAGCCATGCCACCCGATTAATACAATTTCGAATAAATGTTACCGCGTTTACCATTATTGATCTTCTCTTAGTGTTACATGTTGAAAGTCTATTTTCCTAGTTATTATGTTCAGCTTTGAGGATTGTGGTTAGGATCCAATGCCACTACAAATCAGCGTGATTACCAATAGTTTCGGGACAACTTATCATAGATGATGTATAATGAACGCCAATTAGGGTGTACAGATTCTCGTGGTCAGGTGCTAGATCTTTTGAACGGTGGGCTTCCCTGAGTGTTTCATGACGTTCTAGGTCGTCTGGGGCCATTGTGACGATTAGGAATACGAGCATGAGAAATCCCAAACTAGGTTTCATGCCTTGAGGTGAATATCATAAAAATGATTTACTCAAGACGCAGTAAGCAAGGTCAATAATGTACCCAGAATATTATAACATTGTGTTGATGCAGGTACATCCAGATGACGAGTCCCGAATAGGGTGAAACGCACATCCCGGATTCCACTACTGGTCACCGCTCACCTTTGCTTAAAATGGTAATTGTTATGAAACGAGTGTTACTTGTAAAGAACAACAACCGAAAGACTAGTGAGCTATTCTTCAAACTTAGTTCAATCTGCAAACTACGCCGACAAAGAACTTCTCGAACTTTACGAACTAAACGGAGCTGACTTGGTCAGCGAGAAACTCGAACGACTAAGTCTCTTGAATCCGGCGCAAGCAGCAATGCCAGTACTGCAAGCAAATTTACGTGTTAAAATCGTGTTATTTTATCGGTAGTTTGTTCACATACCAACCCTTCTGAGATCTGCTTCTTCGCTTCGTTTGTTTTGTTGCCCGTCTGGAGTAACAAGTGTATGAAAAATACAATAAATTTGCGTTATCATATTTGACTTATTTTAATACGTTATCCTTTAGAGTTAATGGAGTCGACAATCATATGTGAGGGTAACTCACAGGTATATTACTCTGATATCATCAGCCGATAAAAACTGGGATCGGATCAGTGAGCGGTTAGAGCCTTAAGAGCTCTTACACAAAAGGCCCATTGTATGATTCCATTTGTTGATATAACGGTCAAGTGACAATCGAGCCATAAACGTAAGTTCTCAGTTTTATTTCTCATGTTTTACTTGAGTTAACCCTGTCTATGTTATGATGGCAATAAAAAGCGTAAAACAAATTAAGCTGGGGGAATTTATTTCAGGAATTCCTTAACATGGACAGAAAATATTTTGATGTAAAAACGGAAAGGTAAACGTGCCAACTCAAACCGGCTGGAACATGCTTCTGCATTTGTGGACACAAGCAAGAATGTGGCTACACACTCTTATACGCACATCACAAGTTCACAAGTGCGAATGATAAAGCGAGTGGAAAGTCCGAAATAATTTCTTTGTCCGAAAGCTGGTATCAATTACATGAGCGTTCAACAACACTAACTGCTGCTAGGCGAAACAAATCGCAATCGTAAAGTTTGTGGCTGACCCCAGAATCCGGCGGGAGAATATTGATTTTTCATTGACTTAATTATTGAGAAGAGAAACACTGATTTTTCATGGGTTGAAGGTTATATTTTCGTCAAACTATCAAAGCCATTTTGGTTCTTACTCCATTTTCTTAAATTTTGATCATTAACTAAAAGAACATGTGATCATTTTTACTGTGAAGATGCCACAAGTATTTGTAGCTCGACAACACTCCAACCTTTAATACCTTCTATAGTTGAATCATGTCCACCCAGTGAAATCAGAAGTCAGAAGCGAGCAGGTTAGCGGTTGCAGGAGCAATTGGTGTGGAAATGCGGCCGAGCGCTTTTAGCTAGTTGAGTCCATGGAAACTAATATGGTCAGCATCAAATGTCGAAGACTTACAGAGCTATTGGTTTTGGGGATTTATTTACTGCTACTACTGGATATAACAGCTGGTTACTGGAAAGTTTATTGTGCTCTGATTGCTCGCTTAGAGATTCCAGTTTTGTCAAAGGATAATAAAAAACAGCTCAGCGACCGCCGTTATTTAGATTAAATGACATATATTTCAATTATTTCCCACTTAATTATATTCGATGATTGTCTGTAACCACTACAATCTACCGGATAACCAGTATTTCATGACTTAAGGCGCCGAAGAAGAATATGGAAGTTATTTTAGTTTAGATAACTTTACTTCACATTTCAAGCAAAAAACAATATTATCATGTACGAAAAAGATGTTCAGTAATATTTAACCCCTGGTTTTGTTTTAATGACCTAAGTTATAAATACTGCTGCTCGTACCATCAGCAAAGTCACGTACGATATTCCCCAAAATGTCGAGAGCAAAGGTTGGTATTAACGGTTTCGGTCGTATCGGGAGACTTGTGCTCCGCGCAGCTTTCCAAAAGAACACCGTGGATATAGTTTCAGTGAATGACCCCTTCATAAATTTAGAGTACATGGTGTACATGATTAAACGTGATTCCACCCATGGGAATTTTCAAGGCGAGGTGTCGGCAGAAGACGGAAAATTAAAAGTCAATGGAAAGTTAATATCTGTTCATTTTGAAAGGGATCCAAGAAACATCCCATGGGATAAGGACGGGGCTGAATATGTCGTAGAGTCCACTGGAGTCTTTACGACCATTGATGCAGCTAAAGTAATGTCATTTATTGTATTATCTAGTGTTCACTTAGGCTCATACTGAAAATAATCGAGCTAAAAAGGTTATAATATCTGCACCTTCTGCAGACGCACCCATGTTCGTTGTTGGTGTGAATGAAAATTCGTACGATAAGTCAATGTCTGTGGTTTCTAATGCATCATGTACAACCAATTGTTTAGCACCCCTGGCTAAGGTTATTCATGATAACTTCGAAATAGTTGAGGGCTTAATGACCACTGTGCACTCATTTACGGCTACGCAAAAGGTTGTAGACGGACCATCTTCAAAATTATGGCGAGATGGTCGTGGAGCGATGCAAAATATCATTCCAGCTTCTACTGGTGCTGCCAAAGCTGTAGGAAAAGTCATCCCAGCATTGAATGGAAAATTGACGGGAATGGCTTTCCGCGTACCGACACCGGACGTTTCAGTCGTTGATCTGACATGCAGATTAGGGAAGAAAGCTACCTATGATCAAATTAAGGCTGTGGTCAAAGCAGCTGCATCTGGACCAATGAAGGGGATTTTGGAATACAGTGATGATGAGGTCGTCAGTTCGGACTTTATTGGAAATAGCAGTTCATCCATATTTGATGCGAAGGCTGGGATATCTCTTAACGACAACTTCGTGAAATTAATTTCATGGTATGTCTTCATATATTTTTGTTCCCTAACTTATTTCATGTAGGTACGATAATGAGTTTGGATACAGTTGTCGCGTAGTTGATCTCATCACGCACATGCATAAAGTTGACCATGCATAGTGAAGTAGTTTCAACTGTAGCCGAGTCACTTTTTGTCAATCGATAGATAACGAATAAAGCGTTAATCTGCCCACTTACTTTTCAGTTCTCTCTATCACATATCAGTCAAATATTGTTTGGTTTCTTCTGTTATTTTGCTTAGCAGCCAGTGTAAAGTAACAAGTGTTGATTATCGGACTTCGTTTAAGAGGGCTTACGTGGTCCTAAAGTATGTGTTTCCATCAAATTGTCACTCGTCCTACCCTTTGGACGTGTGGTTGTGGTCCACCTAACTAACTTTCAGCAGTCACAAAAGTCCGATAACAGTTTACAGAACATATTTGTGACTTCAGTTATTACGTAGTTTGTAGTTCGCTATACATTTGATTGTTGTGGACCTTTGTGCCCATCTTAGACTTGCTGTTTAGATAATAAAATTAAAGGAAAGGTAATACCATCCGAGTTTCCGTGCCTTAGTCTTTAAGATGCATGACATCCTCAATACTTGTTGAATACCATCAAATAAGGTTCCCTTTTTACAGACATCGTCATCACAATAACCATTTTTGAATAGACGGGATGTTTACATCTTCTGAGCGTTTCTAACAATTATTTGGTTCCACTCGTCAAAAGTAACCTCTGCTGATCTGGCTTTTCAGTCAGCTACAATGGAGGATCAGGCACATATGCATCGGTCCAAGTTGCCATACCTCATTAACACAACATGATGGACACCGGATTCATAAAAGTAGTTAATTCAGTGGTGGTAATATATAAAAGAAAGATTGCAATAAGGATATAGTACAGGAAAAAATAATTAGTTCGTAGAAGGAAATATATGAAGCAATTTTAATCTCCTAGTTTAAGGGAAGACAGGGAGTGTATACACCGACGCCATTGTGATCGATTCTGAGCCATGTCACCTACAGTATCCAACCATTGATTATGATAGTTGCGCGGACTCCAACCAAGTAGTCTGCATCTACCAACATGGCTCAGACTAGAAGTTAGTGACTTCAAGCACTGATGCCACGTTTCGATTTGGCCGCCCCTAACTTTCTTCCAACCATTTCCAACACCGGTTAGCATTGCGCGTCGTGGTGATCGGTGTTCCGGCATATATAACACGTGGCCTAACCATCTCAGCCGGTGAAGATTCATAACCTCATCAACTGATTTACCATCATTCCCTAATACCCTACGTCTAACCTCACTGTTACTTGCCCGGTGGTCGCAGCAGATGCGAGCAATATTTCTAAGGCATCTGTGGTCAAATACTAGTAGCTTACGAGTATCTCCTACTCTTAGTGGCCATGTTTCGCTATCGTAAATTAAAACAGAACGAACTGCCGCGCAGTATACTCGTCCCTTAATTGATAGACTGATATCTCGCCTTCGCCACAAGTGACGTAAGTTAACAAAGGCTAGACGAGCTTTTCCAATCCGTGCAGAGATTTCGTCAGACACCAACCATTAGGGTTGATCTGACTTCTAAGCTAAGTGAAGTTGTCGACGTGTTCGACTACTTCACTCCCTATCCTTAGTTCAGGTGTTGACGCAGGCCAGTCCTGAAGCAACGATTTGCATTTAGAGGGAGAGAAGCGCATTCTAAACATTCTGGCATTGTTGCTTAGTGCTACCAAAAGACTGCATTTTATCAGCGTCTTCACCAAACAGGACTATATCATCTGCGTATTCTAAATAGACAAGTGGACCTCCTGGAAGGAGATCAATACCCTAGAATTCAGTAGACGAGAATGTCATTTCCATCAGTATGTCTATGATGAAGTTAAACAAAAATGGAGAAAGTGGACAGCCTTGACGGACACCACTTGAGTTTGCAAAAGCTGATGACAGTCGACCATAAGCTTCTAGTAGTTTTTGATGGTAGTTGTTCTGATTCCACGAATGGTTTGTTACTTAGCAGTAGTTTTATCGGGATTACTTCAGTCTTTCTGAAGTAAGCTGAGATCCCATTTACTTGGCCATGCTTAGCAGGTTACTGTAGGATATCACAGACCGCAAGTGATGTAATTTTCTGAAGGCAGGATTCCCATGTTCTATCGCGTTTAACTACCTGCCGTTCGCTGCATTGCATATCACAAGGGTTATCCCCAGTAAAATAGGCTACAGACGAAGTTGGGCAATTCATCAGGTAAGGCTGTAGTCCTGTTAAACGGGTTTAGGCGGGTCTGTTTCGGACGTCGATCATCTGTTGCGTTACGGGCACAGGTATGCTGCACTGCGGGTAAGACTCAAAAATCTATTCGATATTGCTCCCTGAAGACATCTTTAGTGCCTCATCTTTCGAAATTGGGTGTGTGATAACTCATGCGTTAGTGTTTCTAACTTAGAGGCAAAAATAGTTAAACCAGTGTCGGAATGTTTACTATTTCGTCATCAGTAAGAACTACACTGTTTGCCGGAATTTGAAGGAACAGATGTTATTAGATTTATTAAAATGAATTTCACACAAAACTATGTCTGTGCTTACCAAGCGTCACTATCGTGTTACATTTGTGCCCAGACTCATGAGGAAAACTAGATTTAGCGCTAACCAGCTGTTTATCTTTTTGATGTTATTGCGACTACTACTTAACCTCCCACAATGGCTTTCAAAGATGATGCTTACCAGAAGAGTAGGGTTCAAACAGTCTGAAAACAAGAAACTAGTAGTTAGATGTTTTGTTCAAATTTCTCATATAACTAATCAGCCATTACTCATACTTGTGATGCCTGAGTGTGATCAGTTTGATCCCGTGTGATGAAATGCTCTCGAACTACTGGAGTTTTAAGCGGGTGCGGAAGACACGTTTGGTGCTCCATGAAATCGAATGGTTTCCTTAGTGTTAGTTCATGATAAGAAATTAGTTACCAATTAAATAGGATGTTCACCTGGTACTGTACTATAATTTAATGGTTGAAATCATGTGTTTACGAAAAAAAAACATGGAAAAATTTTCGCCTAGAAACCTACTTAGCGCGGTTTATTAACCTTGGTGATGAGCCTACTGGTAACATTTCGACTGTAATATAAATATCATGGGCTCTCTGCACGGCATACTGGATTACTAAGTTTCGTTAATGATAACCACTTTCGGTCAGTACGAGAAGTTTTCATAACAATGATTACGAGGTAGCTATTAAATTCAATACCTTAAATCTATTTGATGAAACTGATTAGCATAACAATAAGGAGATTCGCTGGGGATCGATCACAAGTGGAGTCGTGAGCATTCGCCCAGTTTTCTTTTATACGGGCCACTGAACCAAACCACGTTGATTACCTCATTCTTGAATATAAATAATAAGAAAGTACAACCCTGCACTAAATAGCTTAGCCTTATCTCATTCAGTGTTTAGATAATTATAGATCTATTCAGTAACATCGCTACGTGAATGGTATTAATTCCAAAGGCTAAACAACCAATATTAGTAATTACTCGAAAATTTTTTACTATGCGTAAGTTTAATAGATGCTAATATTTATTGGGGTCGGAATCAAACATTGTTATTGGAATTAATGATAAGATTTAAATCATGAGCTCAATAATGAACAAGTACAGTATCGAGATGTGCACGACTTCTATCATACTTAGTGTTGAATGTATGATCAGTTTGGCTTATGCCCTGAGAGGAGTAACGGGCCTGTATCAGTAATATGATCAAGAGTTTTGAATTAGGAATTCTGTATGATAATTTCAGGAAGACCACATCCTTTGGAATATCTAGGTAGATAATTCGACCGTCAATACCAATAAGTATAACCAATAAATTTGCATGGAATGTCTATCGAGTATGTTTAATGTCACAAAATTAGTAAACTTATGAATGTCAACCGGTTATACGCAAATTACAACAGCACAAGATATCAGCGTATGTAGTAATATTATTAGTGTTGTTAGAGATTAAGCATAAATCATATTATTTGAGTAAATATGAATTTGTAGAATATTTATGTTTTTTTAAGATAATTAGGAAACTTCTGATCTAAAGGAAGATAAAGAGTGAATGCGCGTGGTCCTTCGTGAGTGATTTTGAGACACGTCATCTGAAGCTCCTTACTATGGGTAAATGTAAAATGTCTTTGACCGATAGACAGATGACCATAGACATAAATACTGATTCAAGATGAGTGTAATAATCTCTGGAAGGCGGTGTTTCTCGCCTTGAATATATATTAGTGTAGAGCCTTGATGAAAAACGAATTGAACAGTAATATTTCTTCACTCAGCTTGTATTTTGAATTTAGTATGCCATTTTACTTCAATTTCTGGGATTTCTCATATGGACAAAACAAGTAGGTTTTGTCGGGTTTCAAATGGGCTCATTGAAATATTCAAGACAAATCTAATTGTACGACTTTCAAGTTCATATCTTATTCTCATATTATTAATGGTTTAATATTTAGGACAATTAGTTGATTTAAAGCTGGATTTAATGATGAACATATGATGTATGATATGATAAATCTGTTTATTATTAAGAATTCCGTCGATTTGTCAAAATTATCCAAAAAACAATCGTTTGAAAACTAACAAACTTTTAAATTCCCGAAGAGATTCTAGTGTTACAGTACTTTATAGTTTCTTTGCAGAGACTCAACTTTCTATGTTACATTCACAGAAAATCTTAGTAAGAATAGATTATATTTACCTATCATTTTATTCTAAATTACCCGATAATTATGGAGTCTAAAAAGAAAGAAAAAAGGTATGGACTTTCGTGCAAATGCTCCTCTCATCATGAAATTCTCCCCCTTAAAGATAAATACCACATTTTATATGATTGGCTTTAGCCTAAACCAAAAATATCGTATAAAAGAATAGGCTAGCGGACTAACAATTATCCAGTGCTTTTCCTCGAATTCTATCATTTATTTACTGAATACTAATTTTTTTAAACATCTCTAGAAAAATGAGCTAAAAGTAAGAGAGAAATACAAGTCGATGTGTTTCATGGACAGAAATAATTTTCTATAAGGAGTTTTTTTGTCAGTTCGCAATCCCATATTAAATAATGATCGTACAATCTAGTCAGTCCTATACCTCTTACCACTTTATTGTTTGTCATAGATTTACATCCTAGTTTTTCTGTTAAATTTCTTCCATTAAATAGTTCTGGAGTTCTCTTGGAATAATAAATTAAACATCTGAAATAATTAAACATCCTATTGATCACATTAAAAAATATAACATAAATTTTCTATTTTTTACAATTACCATTAGTTCTGTTTTCGTGTTATCCAATGCAAAGAAGAAGTATCATTTCCATCGATTACTCATTGTTATACTGACATAAGACAAATTTTCTGTATAACATTTGGTGGATGATCAATAAGATATTTTGGATGTACATGATTTCTTCCAGTTGGAAATTTGTTAGGTGTGAAGTGGAGAGGAAACTACCTTAAAAAAGTAATAAACATATGCTCAGTAGTTCCTGGTATGAAACTATGATTATATAAACAACCAAATCGACAACTAAGCAGTTACCCATTAACGTCATTAGATACTGATTTCTGTATATTCCAAAAAACAGGTTGAAAATTAAGAATAATTGAATTTCAACTCAGTAGTACGCTGATATTACTTTTATCGTAAAACGTAGAGATACTTTTGATACAGAATATATGGAATGTGTAAAAGTGGAATACCGGACGCTTATTTTATCCCATTTGGGACTCATCGGCTGATGAATGTACTACCGTCTCTAGCCATTTAAAATTCAATTAGAGGTACTGTAAATAATCTTATATGAGATTATGGTTTAGGACTGATGTCAAGTTGTAGACTAGGACAAGACAGTTGCATTATAGTGTTTAATAGTTCTCTATTTAACGCTTGTTGAATATGTAAACTATCATAAAAAAATGGAACTGAATTTACAAGAGTTACGTCTTTTAATTATTTTTGACAGTTTTATTTTATTTGATTTAAATAAACTTCGGTCATTTCTATAAATTGTACAATTATTTGCGTCTAATGACGAAATCTGTTTGGACAAAATTACTTAATAACATGTTAAATGTGTAGAACAGTTTTACTAACGTGACGAAGACCTTGAGGCTATTAATAACGTTCATATTCTGAATAAATATTTATTTCAATAGTTGAGATCATGAGTCAATTGAAGCTAGACCACCATGGAAATCCTGGAAGCACTGGTCGGCCGTTTCGTCTTACTGTGGGAATCCTCAGCAGTGCGCATCCACGACCCCACCTCGCGGGATTCGAACCCAGGACCTATCAGTCTCGCGCGCGAGCGTTAAACAACCTATTTTATTATCTTTTGTGGAAAATTGTCCCCGTCAGTCTGTGAATTTATATGTCAAACTGAATATTCTATGCAGGGGATCTTATATGCCTAGATGCTATTGTTGGTTTATGCTATACTGTTATGGTCCGTTTTTTGTCTTACTATGTTCGTGCAATTATGTTAACTACTCATTTTAGGTTAAAGAAAACTCCACAATCGGATAAAATAAATAAAACTATTTGTTGTGTCCCGATAAGAATAATGAATGGTAATTTTTGGGATCCGTTTATGGACCAATATTATGAGTATATTTTTATCGTACAGTTGTTATGCAACTAAACTGTTCATATTCATACCCCTCTTATTATGAGCTTTATGTTGACCTATGAACTATTATTGTACGATTTACCATTCATGAATTATTCCCTATCTGTTAATCGCTACCTCCCTCATTCACAGCCACTTCTGGCTAATTATTGTGCAAATGTTATTTTCTATTTTATTGGTACGTTGTGGTCGGGTTGATCGGTATATAAACAGAGTATGCTTGGAATACAATGATTCATATCTCAGAGGCTGAGACTTGCGTTCTGGACTCAACTGGCTGGGCTAGACAGGGGGGCGGGGCCAATCAGAACTCTAGGTCGTTCTTACGTGTTTTACGCGTCTTTGGTCCGATCGATAATACACTGCTCTCTAATCCTTCAGTCAGGGACACGACAATTGGCACGGGGTAAAAGTCGATCCAAGTTCAAGTCACAACACTATTTATTACATATCTGTTCAGCGAATAACAATTCTTGGTGTGCCTGTCATAGTGCACGTATAAAAGACTATGAATTTGAATGTGACTTTTAGAAACTAGGCGCTGCTCTTAAAATGCATTTTGTATCACCAGTTTTAATACAAGAAAGTAGGGAAAAAGATATATCTTAATAGTTTAATTATCAGTTTCATTGAAAATGAACAGCTGTACAATGATAAATCGTTGCAAATTGTGTGCTTTATAAAAGAAAATAAATGAAATTAATACGTATTCAGAAGTGAATCAATCTAATCATTTCAGCTATGTATTACTAAATTTTGTTGGTGACTTTACGTCTGAGGTGTACAATAAGTGCAAAGAAATTTTTGACTATATTTAGCATTAGTAGTCAAACCAGTCAAAGACGGAATATCTAAGAAAGAATGACAACCAATAATCATAACAAATGGTCGGGGATTTTAGGTAATACAGCTCAGAATTGGTCATAATAATGCTTTCCTGTAAATCTTAAGTTTTTAAGTTACTTTATATTTTTTGTTCCGCGAATTCACATTCTCACCTCAGATCATACTGTCTACACCTATTCTTTTATAATACCGGTGGTACTACTACTAGCTCCAATAATCTAGGATTTGTCTCATTGCCTTAATAGGATATGGCAACTTGAATGATTACATTTATTCCCCAAATTGTTGATTGATTATGAATGAATAATTACTTTTATGAAAAATGATCTGTGTATTTAAAATAGGTGGTGTGTTCTAGAAGTGAAGACAAGCTATTAAACTTATTTCTATTGTAGTAGTAGTTTGGTGGGAATTTTTGATGTTATGAAGATGACCTTCATCATAAGCAGAGATGTTGAAAATTACCTCAATCTTAGTGTGAATTCATTTTCACTTGTAGTAAGAACTGATAAAAGTGAGACAGTCACTAACCGATAACATTGAATGAGACTCCGTGTATATTGGACTTTGACTTAAGTTGAGAGTTTGATTCTGTTGTAACTTGATAAAATACTAGTATTGGTACTTGTTATACTGTGGCCACAACTGATAACATTTTACTGCGTAACAAAATAAAGGTTGGTATTTCTCGCCTCAATGAAGAAATGTAAGAATGAAGAGGTAGATTTATTTATTTACCAACAACAATCCACAACTCATCAGAAATTATGTAAAAACTGAAATGAATTGGTCTTTTGAAAGCGATCATAACTTGAAGCGTTCAAAATCTCTGTTAACAATAATTGGATCAATGACGAAATTATCAGATTCACGTTTTGTAAGCTTCCTACAGCGACATCTCATTAAAAGTGAAGAACGGTTCCCGAAATCTGAGGCAATATTTTTATTGTTTTCAAAATCATTGTATAGTGGCTAGAATGGCAATATAGATTTTGACTACCGATCATGTCCTCTAATGACAAGTTTTCGAAGCAATAGTCTCACCTTCTAATCATCTTGGTTCGAAAACCCATCACAGAAAAAATCTTCATAAAGTTTGAACGAGGTATCAGAATTAATATTAACAACTGATAGGATAATCGGTATATCCATTATTCAATAAGCAGAGTAACAGTTGCCACGAGATCTATAGTGGGTGTGAAGTTCAGTAATAACCTAGATTGGCGTACACTATTCAGATTCAATAACTTACGAAAAAAGACTGTTCAGGGCTCCATGGTGTGAAATACTTATTCGACGAATGTTATCCCACCATGACTTATATACGATTGATTATTAAGTAAGGGAAAAGTGTTCTGTATTTTTCAGAATGTGTTACACTGTTAATACTTACTTACTTACGTCTGTTACTCCCAATGCAGCATAGGCTGCAGACCAGCATTCTCCAACCCACTCTGTCCTGGGCCTTCTTTTCTAGTTCCATCCTATTCCTGTTCATTTTTCTCATGTCTCTTTCCATTTCCCGGCGTAATGTGTTCTTCGGTCTTCCTCTCTTCCTTTGGCCTTGAGGGTTCCATGTGAGGGCTTGTCTTGTGACGCAGTTGGGTGCTTGCCTCAATGTGTGTCCTATCCACTTCCAGCACTTCTTCTTGATTTCTTCCTCCGCTGGGATCTGGTTCGTTCTCTCCCACAGTACGTTGTTGCTAATAGTGTCTGGCTAATGGATCCGAAGTGTTGTACGTAGACAACTGTTAATAAACACTTTTATATTCTGGATGATGGCTTTTGTAATTCTCCAGGTTTCCGCCCCATACAGTAGAACTGTCTTGACATTTGTATTGAAAATCCTGACCTTGGTGTTGGTTGACAGTTGCTTTGAGTTCCAGAGGTTCCTCAGTTGTAAATATGCTGCTCTTGCTTTGCCGATCCGCGCCTTCACATCTGCATCGGATCCACTGTGTTCATCAATGATGCTGCCCAGATATGTGAAGGTTTTTACATTTTCCAAATCGTCTCCGTCAATTTTGATTGGATTGGTGCATGCTGTGTTGTATTGGAGAATCTTGCTATTCCATTTGTGTATATTGAGACCTATTGCTGCTGAGGCTGCTGCTACACTGGTTGTCTTCTCTTGCATTTGTTGTTGCGTTTGGGATAGAAGGGCCAGATCGTCTGCGAAGTCTAGATCATCCAACTGCATCTTAGATGTCCATTGTATCCCGCGCTTCCCTTCAGACGTTGACGTCTTCATGATCCAGTCGATCACCAGGAGAAAGAGAAAGGGTGAGAGTAAGCAACCTTGCCTAACACCGGTCTTTATTTCGAACGATTTTGTCAACTGTCCTCCATGCACGATCTTGCAGTGTAATCCATCATAGGAATTCTGTATGATAGTGGCTATCTTCTGAGGTACGCCGTAGTGTCGAAGAAGCTTCCATAGTGTTGTTCTGTCCACGCTATCAAATGCTTTTTCGTAGTCAATGAAGTTGATGTAGAGTGATGAGTTCCATTCAATTGATTGCTCCACAATGATCCGTAGAGTTACGATTTGGTCTGTACATGATCTATCCTTACGGAATCCTGCCTGTTGGTCTCGAAGTAGGGCGCCTACACAGTCCTTCATCCTGTTTAACAATACCCTGTTGAAGACTTTTCCCGGTATTGAGAGAAGAGTGATGCCCCTGTAGTTATCACACTTGCTGAGATCGCCTTTCTTCGGTATTTTGATCAGAAGTCCTTCTTTCCGGTCTGTTGGTACTTGTTCCTCATCACAAATATTAATGAAGAGGATGCGGAATGCCTTTGCAGTTACTTCTACGTCTGCTTTTAGTGCCTCTGCTGGAATGTTGTCTGGTCCTGTTGCTTTGCCACTTTTGATTTGCCTGATGGCCATGCTGATTTCTTCAATTGTTGGTGGGCCAACATCGATTTGGAGGTCCGTGGGTGTTTCTTCGATGTTGGGTGGGTGCAGTGGGGCTGGTCGATCCAAGAGTTCTTTGAAGTGTTCTACCCACCTGTTTCGTTGTTCTTCAATATTGTTGATTACCTTGCCGTCCTTGCTTTTCACTGGTCGCTTCGGTTTAGGGTGATTTCCAAAGAGTTTCTTTGTCGTGTCATACAGTTGTCTCATATTCCCTTCTCTTGCAGCCTTTTCCACCGTCGTTGCCAAATCTTCCACATATTTACGTTTGTCAGTTCTAATGCCTCTCTTCACTTGCTTGTTTGCTTCTGTGTATTCAGCTTATGCTTGGACTTTCTTTGCTAGTGTTCGGCTGGCATTGATTGCTGCTTTCTAGTTACTCATTTCTTGAATCTTATCCAGTGTATCAACAGTGATTCATTCCTTGTGATGGTGCTTCTTGTGGCCCAGGACCTCATGAAATGTTGAAGTACTTGCCTCTGATCCTCTTCCAGTTGCTCTCCATGGTAGCTCCTTCTCCATTGAGTAGATCATGAAAGGCCTGGAATTTATTGTTAAGGACTATCTTGAATTTGTTGAGTTTGTCAGTATCCTGAAGAAAGAACGTATTGAACATTTGTGATATTCTCCGCCCCGTTGTTCGGTGCTTCTTAAGTTTCAATTTCATCTTGGCGACCAATAAGTGATGATCTGATGCTATATCAGCTCCTCTCTTGGTTTTGACGTCCTCCATCGTCCTACTACATTTTCGTTGATGCAGGTATGGTCGATTTGGTTTTGCGTGGTGTGA